ATAGAAACATCAATGATGAGAGAGAATCATTGATCGGCTGCCTCCTGCATGCCCCCCCACCCCGGGGGATTGAACCCACAACCCAGGCACGTGCCCTTGACCAGAATTAAACCCGGACCCTTCAGTCTGCAGGCCAACGCTCTATCCACTGAGCCAGACCAGCCAGGGCGCAATTGGACTTTTTAATATGAGTGCATTTTCCAAGGCTTGTCAGAAAATGTAGAAAAAATGTCAGCGTATGTTTCTGGTCGGTGGGATTTTGCCTAATTTTAATGTTCGCTTCACAATGATCTGTAGTTATTAAATGTTCACAAGGAGATTGATTTCATTTTTAGCTCCTAAAATAATGTTAAGAGTAACGTGTTGTTAAAAAAAAGATTAAGCACAGAGGTCTATAGAGTGAAAACTGAGCGTTTCAGCTTACCATTTCTCCACATCTTACCCTAAAACCCATTCGACTGCCACTGTCTATTTTGCCCATCAGCTGAGCAAAAATGAGAATGTGTTTGCTTATTTGATCATGGATCAAACTCATTTTCTGTTCCTATTTTTATTGCCTGGTTTTATGTCTTTTGCGAATTTACCGGCCATAATTTTACCTGTTGTTGGTGTTGTGGTTTTCCATTGAGTTGGTTGTGTGCTCTTATAGATCTATAGACACTTTTTCCATATTTGAGATATCAGCCTCCTTGTTCAGTCTCTATGCTGGAAATATTCTCCCCTGAGTTGTTGTACACCTCTTGTTAATGGGGTGTTTTGCCTTAAAGCCATTTTTAATTGTTATATATCAGAGTGGTGTAATTTTTTCTTTATGGTTTCTGTGATCTGTGACAAGCATGGCAGAGTCATCTTTATTTCAATATTATAAGATCGGGTTTCTATTTTATGCTGGTATTTTCCGTGTTTGGGTGGTTGTTCGCTTGTGTTTACTTCCGCTGGAGTTTATTTTGATGTCGGTGAGGACATAACCTTTTTTATTTTCCAAATGGGGAGCCGGTCGTCACCTGTTTGTTGAATATAAATGCGCCTTCTGTCAAACACTAACCCATTGGTTTATCAGATTCTCCCTACGGTTCTAGTGATCTAATGATCCGATCCCATATCCATTGCACCTGTTTTAATTGTCGTAGCTGTACAGGATGTTTGGGACCATGGTTATAATTTGTTTTTTCAAAACAGCCGTGCCTACTCTATCATCCTTCTTGCTGTTGGGTTTTAGAAACAATTCGCTCGTTTTCATAATCCGCGTTTGGTGACTGTAATTTGGTAGACTGTGCAACGCCCGGCATTTCCCTCCAGGAACGAGGTCGGCCCCTACGCACTCACTCTGGTTATAATTTGTTTTTTCAAAACAGCCGTGCCTACTCTGTCATCCTTCTCGCTGTTGGGTTTTAGAAACGATTCGCTCGTTTTCATAATCCGCTTTTGGTGCCTGTAATTTGGTGGCCTGTGCGGGTTCATTGGAGAAGGACTGGCATCTTTGCAAGGCCCGGCATTTCCCTCCAGGAACTCGACCGGCCCCTACGTACTCACTCTACTATGGTGTCTTCCAGCCCATTGCCTCATACTTTATCTCTGCAGACCTTGCCCATTTCCTGTTAAGGTTATTCCTAAGGCTTTGAAAGACCATGTGGATTGAAGCTGTAAAATGTCCCCCAACTCATGTCTTAAGTGGTCACTGCTTGTGTAGAAGGGAAACGACTGATATTCGCACGTGGCCCTTGTATTGGGCCACTTCACTGAACTCAGATTAGATCTAATAGTTCTTCATCTGACTCCGTGGGCTTTATTTTTTTAAAGTAGACTCTTTCCTGACCTGCAAAGAACCATGTTCTCTCTTTTTTCCTATTACATGCACCTCGCCCCATCTCATTTCATTGGTGGGAATCTGTAGAATTCTTTTATGAAGAATTTGCCTTTAAGTATGAAGGTTGCTGTAAATGTGGGGAGATACACTGTATGGAGTTGAGGAAGTTTCCTTAGATAATCAACCTGCTTAGAAGCTGTGTGTTTTGCTTTCTTTAAGTCAGAAACAAGGGTGGCATTTATATCCATATTATATTAAATGCTGTTTCAAACAATCTTACGTGCGCATCTTACATGCACCCATGACCCAGTGACCCTGCTGCGCAGGTGGAAAATGCTGGCCCCAGGGCGACGGGTTCGCTTCCCCGTTAGATAAGCCACATGGGGAGGTGACATCAGATCAGGCCGAGCCTGAGGACTCTTGCCATCCTGACTCTAGAGTGTGACTTGGGTGTTTGTGTTTATTTGTGTATCTTCATGGGCTTTTGTTTTCTGGTGGATGACTAACACAGAGGGTGACTCCATGAGGGGAACAGATTGTGGGGTGACTCCAGGCTTGGAGAGAAGCCTGCTGGATGCGGGGGGAGTGTGAGGAGAGTCTATGGGGCCTGTGGAGTCTGAGGGGCCTGCAGGGTGTTCCAGAAGAGTTCGGGAGGCCGAGCACCTGTGAACCTAAAGCCACAAAGAGAGGTCCGGGCTGGAAATAGGGAAGGGAGACCCCTAGACAGTTGTTGGAGTGCACAGTGTGGGGGCAGAGGCAGAGAGAGAGGGAGAGTACAGGCAGAACGGGATTCTGGGTGTGTGGGGTCAACAGTCATGGGAGAGAGAAAGAGCGAGAGTGGGTGGTATCAGACACCAAGGGGAGGACAGTCACCAGAAAGAGGAACCTCTGGCAGAGATGTCCAGGGACTGAGGCCGACCTCGGACTTGACCAGGATGAGGGTCTTGTTGGCTTTGACCTGAGAGGTTCCAGGAAAGAAGGGGTGAGAGCCAGAGGGGTCCCAATCGTGTCCCAGCACATGAAACAGTTGGGAGCCATTGTTGGACGAATGGACAGATAATGAATGGATGGATGGATGGATGGATGGATGGATGGATGGATGGACGGACGGACGAATGGAAAGACAGTGGTCTGAGAGCTCAGAAAAGGCTTCATGAAAGAGGTGGAACTACACTGTGTCTCAATGTATGGAGACAAAGGGGAGGGGATCTCCACATGGAAGCACCATTAGTCTGGAATGACCCAGTGTCCATAGGCCCGGGGAGAGGTTCATTTGTCTGGAACATGGGAAATTGTGGGGAAGGAACACTCAGAGGCCCCAGGAGGAGGCCAGGAGGTCTGAGCTACACCACACAGCCCCTCGAGGGGACAAGGCGCTCAGAATCTTTGTCAGCACTGAGGATTGGGTGGTGACCAGGACAGTCTTGGGAGGAGGGAGAACACACTGGGTCACTCCAAGGTGTGGGTGCCACCTGCCTTGGATGAGGGGCCGGGCATGGAGATGCTCCAGCCTCTGGGGGGGTGACTGCCCACTCGCCCTGCCCCAGAACACAGCTGCAGCCCTGCATTCGTCATGCCCGGCAGGTTCCTGTGCCAGACTGGCCCCCGGGGGACAGGCCCCAGGTGCTGGTCCGGCGGGTTTTAGTCCGAGCCTCAGTCACCGTGGTATGTCTTCGGCGGCGGGACCCAGCTCACCGTCCTAGGTAAGTGGCTCTCAGCACCTTTTCCAACCCATCCCACCACTCTGCTGTCTTGGGCAAGTCACTCCTCTCTCTGGGGGCTGCTTCCTTCTGCCCTCCCAGCCTTATAGACCGACCCCCACTTTCTCCGTGGGCTCTGGGGAAGGCAGGTTGGTCTTGGGGTAACCAGCAGGGAGGACCTCAATAGCAGAACCCCAATAGCCCCCCAGACTCTGGGGGTGGGCCTAGGAAAGGGGGTCCTTCCTCTCCTCCAGGGCAGATGCCTCAGGGGGGCCAAGGCTGGTTCTGACCAGGGTCAATGGGGCAGCCTTAGCGACAGTCACAGTCCCGAGGGTCTGGGCTGAGGGCTCGATGCCCTCTGGCCTGGGAAAGCCGCACAGGAGGCGGGGGCAAGGCTGGGACTGGGACCCGGACTTCGGGGCCACCAAGGGCTGCCGGAGGGGAAGCCATGGAGGGCAGAGAGGAGGGTCGAGCTCGCTCTGAAGCACTCAGAGCCTCTGTTGGGCCGCAAGGATGGGGGGTCACGGAGACACGGTGAGATGGGCGAGCTGGCCCCTCAGGAGCCCGACCCTCAGGATGGAGGTCAGAAAGGAGTGGGTCCCCTGGGGCAGAGACTCACTGACCCTGGAGCCCCATAATTCCTGGGACCCAGGTGTCCCATCAGCCCAAGGGTGTTAGGGTCAGGGGCTGATGACTGGGGGACTCGGAGCCACCAGCTGCCGTGTCAAGCTGGGGTGGTCAGAGGTGCCGAGGGGGCTGCGGGGCCTCTGTGCTCCTTGTCGGGGGCATCAGTGCCATGAATGCAGCGAGACGAAAGGTTTTGATGTCCGGGGACCAGGCACAGGGAGACGGGCAGAGCCAGAAGGAGCCCCCAGGCTTTGGCTGCAAGGACTCGGCCCTCACTGGAGAGCCAGGTGCCCCAGGGAGACAGGGGTCCCGGCCCCACTGTGTGCTCGCTCAGGCTGGGCCTCTCCACACGCTGTGGGGGTCGTCCTGGCCGGCTGGGTGCAGACCTCAGACCTCAGACCTCAGAGGAGGCCGGGGCTCCAGAAGCGTGAGGGAAAGGGGCCTGAGGCTGGGCTGAGGGCCCGGGAGGTCGGGGCAGAATGCACACTCGACTCAGGAGAGTAGGAGGAGGGAGCAGAGCTTGGCCCGGTAACACTTGGGGAAACTGAGGCTATGGATGGAGAAGCTTGACCAGGTCACATGGGAGAGATGACTTGGAAGAGCTTCTGGGAGGGTGCGGGCAGACTGCTGTGCAGGGACAGATAGAAAGAGAGGACAGAAAAGGAAGGAAGGTCCCCAAGGGGAACAAACACACGGGCCCAGTCACAGAGGCCGTCCGTGGGGTGCGGGGGATCCCAACATCTGGGCTCTGCCTCTGCCTCTTACACCCCCTTCTTCTTCTCTGTCCACACAGGTCAGCCCAAGTCTGCACCCTCCGTGTCTCTGTTCCCGCCATCCACTGAGGAGCTCGCCAACAACAAGGCCACACTGGTGTGTCTCATGAGTGACTTCTACCCGGGCAGCGTGACGGTGGCCTGGAAGGCAAATGGCACCCCCGTCACCCAGGGCGTGGAGACCACCAAGCCCTCCAAGCAGAGCAACAACAAGTACGCGGCCAGCAGCTACCTGAGCGTGTCCAGCCAAGACTGGAAGTCCGCCAGCGCCTACAGCTGCCAGGTCACGCACGACGGGAAGACCGTGGAGAAGACAGTGGCCCCCTCAGAGTGTTCCTAGGACCTGAGTCCCCACTTCTGGGGACACTTCTCCGTCAGACCCTCCCTTCCCCGCTCCCCACTGTCCCCCTGAGGCTCCTGCCCTGGTCGCTCAGACTGGGCAGGGGGCCATCCCTCCCCGTTTCCCCTTCTCCTGAATAAACTCCTGTCATTTCTCATCTGACATTTCGCATGTGTGTTCTGTGTGGGGGAGGGTCTCAAGGTGAAATAAAGGGCAGGATGGTTATGACATGTGGTTCCATCTACCCATCTTTCGCTCAACCAACCAACCAGGGACATGAATCAGCTCTGAGTGACCATGAAATGTGGTTCCCAGGGTCGAAACTTCTCCTCTAGGACCAGCCCCTGGGATGCAGTCCTTGTCACCTGGAAAGGGACAAGGGCTGAGTGAGAGGGATCCAGGGGCCCTGAGGAGGGACCAGGGAGAAATGGTGAGGGTCCCAGGAGGGCACAGAGGGCTATAGATGGAAATATTGGGAAGGAAATCATGGAGCCAAGGCTGTGGTCATTGGGAACAGACATTGAACTGCCCTGTTCATCATGGAGCCCAATGGGAGAGCCATTGCCAGGTGAGGGGCTCATGGTTGGCCCATCAGCAGGGAGTCATGGAAAGCTTGGAACAGTGCCTCCCATGGGGCGTTTCTCAAACTCTGCCAATGCACGTTAGCTACGGAAAGACACTGACTAGTCCTGCAGCAGAAAAGCAGTTTAATATCACGGAGCCTGACAATTCCCCCACCACGTTCATTCCTCCTACCAACTCAGGGAACCTGGGACGCCCTTCAAAGCATGGTTACTGGTGCTGGGAACATGAGGAGAGAATGAGACACAAGGAAACTCAGCTTATGTTCTAATGGGCCTGAGTCAAGGTCAGGCTCAGGGTGACTCTAGCCGGGGGCATGGACCTCCATATGAGGAGTCTCAACACCTGAAGTCAGATGAGGGTGAGATTCTTTATGGTTGGCTAAGGATGGAGCAGGTGATGTCAGCCTGCACAAGGAAGGCGTGAGGGGCATGAATGTTGACCTTGAAGGATTAGAAAGGGCACAGTCCTGGGCACTAATTGGGCATCCTGTGATGTCCCAGGGAGGGCATATTAACTGGAATTCAGGAGCCGAGTAAGAGAAGGTCAGACCAGCTCAGAGCAGGCAGAGTGTGGCCTGTGGGGTACAGCAAGGTCAGGCTTCCCTGGGGACAGAGCACCCCCACCACTCCACCCCTGGGCCCCTTGCCCCTCGCTCCCTGTGTCTCAGCCCTGAGTGCAGCTGGTGTCAGAGACACACGAGGCCACTGAGACGGGGAGACTGACTAATTTGTCAATTTTTTACATACGTGTTAGGAAACCTACTTTATGATATAATGGAATTTCAGCTTTATATGGACACCCCTGCGCAGAATTATTCCATTATAACCAGCTTTTAGTGTATTTACTTGGTTCTATCTTAGGTGTTGTTTGCATATGAGAACAGAATAAGGTCCCGCATTGTGATATTGGATCTGTAAGTGTCTCCCAAATCACTCCAGCTTTTCCATGCCAGGAAGTAGCTGAGGGGCTGAGCTGCTGGCCTCGGGGACTTTCCCACAGTCGGGATGCAGTCCAGCCTCCACGAGCTGCAACTGGGTGGGTCTCTCGTTCTCATGTTCCTGCAAAATGGTTTTGGCATCAGAAGCTTCACAAGGTCCGGGTTGGACTTTAGCAAAATTGCCTCCCAGATGGTTCCCCCTTTGCACCAAAGGACCCCTATGGAATAGAC